AAGTCTCAGCACTAAGTAGCTATCTGCAGCCACTGCAGCGCCAGTTCAATCCCCAGCCAGGGAGCTGACCCACATGGCCCAGCAGACCTCTCCTGTCTACCCCCCGCTCCTCTCAGCAGTATATTTCAGTAGATCCACTTGTTCTGCTCCCCACTCTGTCTCTGATGAATCCTCTCACCTCCCTGCCCTCTGGTCTGTACCCCAGCTCTTATATGCATTAAATCTTTAAAAATAAGTAAAAAAGAAAATGCATCTAGCAGACAGGCTCCATAGGGCAGTGGTTAAAATCAGAGACTCACAGGTGGCCTGGACTTAAAATCTGCCTTTGCCATGTTATTAGCTCCAAATAAGTTACTTTATTCCTCCGTGACTCAGTTTCTTCAGCACCATAACACTAGGTAGCTCCTGCTGTGAAGATGAAATGAGTCAACAGACACCACATGCTGGCAGTGGAGCCTGGCATGTAATAACTTATTTTCTGTGAGTAAGCGCTAACATCTTAAAAAGGGAGGAGGGCCTTCCATACATGCTTCAACCATTTTGACCATTTTCAATGACAATCCTTTCTGGCTTCAGAATATTCCCAAGGACCTGGCAAACAATGGTCTCGCCTGGAAAACTTGAAGAAGTTAGCCTGAATTGATCATTACTCTAATAGAAATGCAGGGGTTAAGACGAAGTACTGTGAAGCTCTCCACAGCAACTGCAGCAGGAGTTCAATCCCCAGCCAGGGAGTGACCCACGTGGCGCAGCAGACCTTTCCTGTCTCCCCACTGCTCCCCTCAGCAGTATGTTTCAGTCAGTCTGCCTGTTCTGCTCCCTACTCTGTCTCTGGTAAATCCTCTCACCCCCCTGAATCCCTGGCCTGCACCCCAGCTCTTGTATGTATGCATGCATGAGTAAATCTTTCCAAAGGGAAAAAAAAATGCACTTCCCTTGAACAGCATGGAGCCACTTACTCCAGGTTTTTAATCAGATATCTCATGTCTGATTTTAATTGGTCTGAATCCCCAGTGTGGAGCCCTCTGTGGATCTAGATGGCCAAGTCTGAGGGACTTGAGCATCCAGGGATTTCAGTACCCCCATGACCTGATACCAATCCCTGGCAGATACCCAGGGACTGACTGTGCCTCAAATTTTGGGGAGTCAAAAATCGTATTAAGATTTTTCACCACTAGGGGGTAGACACCCCTCATACTACCCCTCACCCCCACCCCCCGAGGATCAACTGTATTTCAACTGTATATATTTATACACACACAGGGCACACGTCTGTTCCACGCTATTTCCCCAGGACCCGACTAGGTGATGGAGACATAGGAAAACACAGTGGTCATGGTTCTCAGAGCTCAAGGAGACAAAGAGGTGGACCAAAGCAGGAATTAACACCAGTTCTTCAGACTGTGGAGTCAGGTGGGTGCTGGATCTGAGTCCTGGCTCCGTCAGGCTGTGTAACCAAGGGAAGTAATGGCCCCTCTCTGAGGCTCTATTTACTCACCCATGACATTAGGACAATTACTGGGTTTACCCAATAGAAAAACAGGCGAAGGATGAGAACAGGCAATTCACAGAATAGATACAAGTAGGCCGATTAGCAAAATGAAAATGATTAATAGCATCTGTTGTTCAGGCAAGGGGTGGAAAGATGGACACTTCAAAAATTGCTGCTGGAAATATCAGCTGAGGAGACTTAGTGGAAGTGTGGCCGTGCTCACTGAGTGTTTTTAAACGAGCATGCTATGACCAAGCAGTTCTATTACGAGGAGCAGATCTTATGGAAACACATATACAGTGAGGCAAGCACAGGACATTACTATAACAAGGCCCATAACAGCAGACTGAAGAGCTGACCAGAAAAAGCTAGATTATAGGAATCCTCACAGTGGATTACAGCGATGAACAATATAGTGATAGGAAAGTATGTCATCCAAATTTAGAGGAAATGGGCAGGTTCCTAGATAAATACTACTTAGTAAAACTGACACAGGAAGAAACTGAAAAGCTAAGTAGTACTGTAATTATTAAAGAAATGAAATTGTTAATTAAAAACCTTCCCCTAAAGAACTCTCCTGGCACAGATGACTTAACTACAGAAACAAAAATTGATCAACAATGCATACATGTAGCTGAATTTATGTAAATGTATAGCTTTACATATAGAGTGTCACTATAAGTATAGGCACATACATACTATAGTGCCATGGACATGTACAAACACACAAAAACATGAAAGGATCATGATGATGACTTCTGAGAGGGGACTTAGGGACTTTTTTTTTTTAAGATTTATTTATGCATGTAGAACTGGGGTACAGGCCAGAGGTGCAGGTGCAGTGAGAGGATTCACCAAAGACAGAGTGGGGAGCAGAACAGAGAGAGGGGGTCAGGAGAGGTCTGCCCCGCCATGTGGTCACCTCCAGGACAGGGATCGAGCTCATGCTGAAGTGGCTTTAGCACCTTAGTGCTGTGCTTTAGCCAGTTGTGCCACCAGGGAGGGCTTTTGTTTTCTTTTTAATGAAGCAATATTCAATGACCATTGAAACTTTCCTACATGGGCCCTTCCTGGTGGTGCAACGGGTTAAAGCACAGCCCTGTGAAGCTATCAGCAGCTGCTTCAACATGAGTTCGATCCCAGGCCAGGGAGGTGACCCACATGGTGTGGCAAACCTCTCCTGTCCCGCCTACTCCTCCCCTCAGTAGTGTATTTCAGTCAACCTGCCTGTTCTGCTCCCCACTCTGTCTCTGGTGAATCCTCTCACACCTCTACACCTCTGGCCTGTACCCCAGTTATGTATGCATAAATAAATAAATCTTTAAAAAAAAAAGAAAGAAATGTCACCACAGGTCAGAGTCATTAAATAGCTACTAGCAGGAAAATGATACTGAGGCCATCCTGGAAACTGCCATCTAGTTCTGGACACTGCTATATCCAAAGCAATCAGTAGTTGCTCAAGAAAGCTTGAGCCAAAGCAAGCGTTTTCCCCATTTTACTACAGGAGGAGAATCTGCCACATGTGTAACATTGTGCATTTATTTACAAAGAGGTTAGAGAAACACACAGAATCTGGCTCCCCTGTGCACCAGGGAGTCATCATCGTCATAATAAATACACTAATTTTAAAAAAGAAAAGACTGGATTGGAATAGCTGAGGGTCATCGTGGGCTCCTCCCAAACTCTCGCTCATAGGAGGAGCCATGAGATGGAAGCCATCTTCCTTCCCCTCTTTGACCTCCTAATCCTCTGTAATTGTCCAAGGTCAGAGGTGAAAGAGTCTTTTCTGGTGTTATCAACTCCTACTTAACCCTCAAAACCCCAAAGTCAGGGCTCCTTCCCTTCCCAGGGCACTCCGCAGGCACCATCTGGGTCAGACAGAGTCTCCAACCTGGGTGCCAAAGGGATATCCTAGGGGTCTAGGGATGTGTAGGGGGGCACTTTGTGAATGGGGGGGCATATCTGGGCACCGACAGGAGGAATCAGAGACCTCGGTGAGAGAGGTGAAAGGGAACAGTCTAAGTGTCTAAACTAAAATGGGGAAATTCGAACTGAATTACCCCTTCTGCATACCATAGTACACCCATAATACAGATGAGGAAAGTGAGGCCCAGAGAAAGGGAATTTTCTTGCCCAACGGCTGCAGAGCCAGCAGCTGAACTGGGCCAAACAGGGCTTCTCCCCCATTCCTCCCCGTGGTGGAGGGGAGCCTTTTCAACCAAGACTATGGGGAAAGGGAAAGTGCAGAAAGGTCTTTGGAAACAGAGAAAATGGTGGTCTTTGGAAGGGAGGTGTGGAGGGCCAGTGACTGGGAGAGTGGTGGTGCAGAGGCCATGAAGGGGGAGCCCAGGCAAACCCCCAACTCACACTGTAGTCATGACCTTGAGAGAACCCGAACGGAAACGCAAGATCTTTTTCTTGAGCGCGTGAGAAGCTTTGATCTTCACAAAGACTTTCGCGGGGCCCGCGGGGGCCCCTCCACCTGCACTGCCCGCCGGCCCGGAGGCCGCCGTGGCCGCCACCAGCTGCTGGGGCCACACCAGGCCTCCGCTGCCGTCGGAGTCGCTGGATGCGGAGCTGAAGGCGGGCGACTCTCCCTCGCTGGCGCTCGACTCACTCTCCCCGTAGCCGCCCGCGACGCCGCCCGCGGGGCCCCGGCGTCCGAGAGGCCCCAGGCGCCCAGTCGAGCACTCGGAGTCGCTGCCTGCGCAGCCGTAGAGCAGCCGGCGCTGAGGGGCTGACGGGGACGGGC